GGCCCTTCACCCTGACTATCCGGCCCTTTCACCCTGACTATCCGGCCTTCACCCTGACTATCCGGCCCCTCGACCCTGACTATCCGGCCCCTTCACCCTGACTATCCGGCCCCTCGACCCTGACTATCCGGCCCTCGACCCTGACTATCCGGCCCTTCACCCTGACTATCCGGCCCCTCGACCCTGACTATCCGGCCCCTCGACCACTACCATGACAGGAAAAAATGACTAGAATAATAAAAATAATGGTAATGGAAATGGCAATAGAAAACAATATCAATAACTAAATAAATAAAAGTAATAACAACAAAAGTAACAATAACAACAAAAGTAACAGTAAAAAAAAGTAACAATAACAAATAAAAGTAACAGTAACAACAAAAGTAAAAATAACAATAAAAGTAACAGTAACAACAAAAAAGTAACAATAACAAATCAAAAGTAACAGTAAATAAACAAAAAGTAACAATAACAACAAAAGTAACAGTAACAACAAAAAGTAACAATAACAACAAAAGTAATAAACAACAAAAGTAACAATAACAATAAAAGTAACAGAAACAATAAAAGTAACAGTAACAGCAAAAGTAACAATAGCAAAAAGTAACGTAACAACAAAAAGTAACAGTAACACCAAAGTAACAATAACAAAAAAGTAACAGTAACACCAAAAGTAACAATAACAAAAAAGTAACAGTAACACCAAAAGTAACAATAACAAAAAAGTAACAGTAACAACAAAAGTAACAATAATAATAAATAATTGCAAAATACAATAATAATGAAAAAACAGTAATAATAGAAATAACAATAATAAAATAAACAGTCAAAATAACCAAAATAACCCAACAACAATAAAAAAATAACAATAATAACTACACCACCTTCACCTAACACAACTACTACACCACCTTCACCTAACACAACTACTACACCACCTTCACCTAACACACGACTACACCACTTCACCTAACACAACTACTACACACACCCACAACTACTACACCACCCAACACAACCTCAAACACAACACACCTTCACCTAACACACCGACTACACCACCTCACCTAACACAACTACTACACCACCTTCACCTAACACAACTACTACACCACCTTCACCTAACACAGACTACCACCTTCACCAACACACCGACTACACCACCTTCACCTAACACAACTACTACACACTTCACCTAACACAACACTACCTACCAACACAACTACTACACCACCTTCACCCAACACACCGACTACACCACCTTCACCTAACACACGACTACACCATCACCTAACACAACACACCACTTCACCAACACAACACACCACCTCACCAACACAACTACTACACCACCTTCACCTAACACACCGACTACACCACCTTCACCTAACACACCGACTCACACACCTTCACCTAACACACCGACTACACCACCTTCACCCAACACAACTACTAACCACCTCAAACACATACCCTTCACCAACACACCAACTAACACCGACTACACCACCTTCACCTAACACAGACTACACCTCACAACACACGACTACACCACCTTCACCTAACACACCGACTACACCACCTTCACCTAACACACGACTACACCACCCACCAACACACCGGCTACACCACCTTCACCTAACACACCGACTACACCACCTTCACCTAACACACCGCAGCTCGTGACTACAGAAACAAGGAAGATATAACGGGTAGATATAAGACCAAACCGAAAATTATGTTGTTTTCAAGTTTGGATTATAATTTTTTAATATAGATTTACTTTAATGAAATGTGTTCTTGTAAGACCATTTGGGAGATATAATGATGGCTCCTGACACACACACATCTGACGACCTCATCTGCAAATTTGGTGAGAAGCTTCTGCACTATCCTCGACACCAGCTCCTACTGCCACCCGAGATCCCTCGTCCGCGAATTGCTGTTCGACACCACAACCGCATCCAGTCCATACGAGCACGAACTGATCGCTATAAGAACAGCCCAGTCCCAACCATTGTAAAAATTATCAACAACTCGTAATCAACCAATGTGTTCACTCCCAGTCAATTCCTTGTAGTATTATTTGTATCACTTGACTTGTTTGTTATTTGTCAATCAAGTGACAAATTCCCCATTTATGTAATTGTGCATTTTCAGCCTTTTGGCTGCCATATTCTTTCAATAAACCGTTAATTGATATTAGTATTATTACACACACACACACACACACCAGTTTTCACCGTCGCTCCAGCACAGGTCCACCTTGAGCGACAGACAATGTGGTGTGGCGCCCTTAAACACACTAAGAGGAAGTCACACTCAAGAGGAAGTCACACTCAAGAGGAAGTCACACTCAAGAGGAAGTCACACTCAAGAGGAAGTCACACTCAAGAGGATATCCTTGTTTTTCTTAAGAGTATTTGTTTGATCACCTGAACATTAGCCCTCATTAGTTTTTCCTGGTAATTAAAACACACCTTAAGCTTGGGGAGGGGTGGTGGGATTGGTCAGGTTAACTTAGAGGGAGGGTGGTGGTTGGTCAGATTAATGTAGTAGCGTCATGATTGGTCAGTTTAACTTAGAAGAGGATCGTAATTGGCTAACTTAACGTCAAGGAGGCTTGTGAGTGGTCAGATTAAAGCAGGGAGGGCTCGTGATTATGTAATTACACACACACACACACACACACACACACACACACACACACACACACACACACACACACACACACACACACACACCCTGTCGCTCGTGCGTCCTCCAGTCTAGGAAAAAAATCCGGCTTTTTCCCCTTTAGTTTTAATTAATTTTTCGTTTTTCTTCATAGATTGGTGAAGGATAAGTTTTTTTCCCAGTCCAAGGTAGACCAGAACCAGGGTGGCGTAACATGTAAAAAAAAAATAAATAAATAAAAATACTTTGCTATTTAACGAGAGATAAAAACAGCTTCAAAATATGGCGTCAAATTATACTGAGACTCTAGACACAAAGGAATTTCTCTGAAGAGTCTTTACACAAATTCGATAATGTAGACTACTGTTGTATAATAATGGTTGTGTTATTGTTGTTATTGTTCAGTAAGGTAAGGTGAGGTAAGGTGAGGTAAGGTGAGGTAAGGTAAGGTAAGGTAAGGTAAGGTATGTATGGTATGGTAAGGTAAGGTAAGGTAAGGTAAGGTAAGAAGGTAAGGTACAGTACTGAACTCTACGGGAGAATGGCATCTTTGTTTACCCATCCACTTCAGGCTATTCCTGTTCCCACGTCCCCACACACAGGTAGCCCCAAGGAGGTGAGGTGAGGTAGCCCTGCTAGTAGTCGGTCAGTAACAATGGCCGTGATGGTTGGTGAGGTAGCGGGCCGTAGCGAGCGCTCATTGGTCTACCGTTATCATCTGAGGAATTAGGTTGTTCCCTGGTTGGTTGATGGAGCGCTAAGACCAGGGTTGGGAGGGGGGTGAAGGGATGGGGTGAAGGGGGAGGGGAGGGGAGGGGTTGTGGGGGTAAGGGAGTCTTTGGCGATTTGAAACCACGGGAAGAGTATTGGGTTAGGTTAGGGATTGGTTGGGTTAGGTTAGGGATTGGTTGGGTTAGGTTAAGTTAATGTTGAGGTATTTTTAATCAACTGAAATAAGCTGGGGTGTCTAATATTCAGGTGATCCCCTAAAACAAACAATAACAACAACTAAAACAAACAACAAACAAGTCTTGAGAAGTTTGTGTAAATGTTAATGAAGGTAAAATAGATCGATAATTTCTGTAGTTGATAGTGAAGATGTAGGAGTCACCTGTCGAGAGATAAGTGAAGGGCAACAGGTAGGTAAACAGTGTGTGTGTGTGTGTGTGTGTGGTAACTCTGTCTCTCTATCTCTTTCTGTCTGTCTTTCTTTCTTTTGGTCTCTCTCTCTCTCTGGTGTATAATGAATGTTCACCTGCATCGCTCCCTCCCTCACCTGTGTAATCAACCCACCGTTACGTCACACAGATACCTCATAGCTGATTGGTCACACAGAAAACTCGTAAGTGATTGGTGGAGAAGTGTTAGATCACCTGAAGATTAAGCACCCCAATTTACTTTCAATTTCGGATTAACTACCCTAATCAAATTTGATCTAACCTGCCTTACCCTAATTTAATCTAACCTGCCTTACCCTAATTTAATCTAACCTGCCTTATCCTAACTTAATCTAACCTGCCTTACCCTAATTTAATCTGACCTGCCTTACCCTAACTTAATCTAACCTGCCTACCCTAACTTAATCTAACCTGCCTTACCCTAACTTAATCTAACCTGCCTTACCCTAACTTAATCTAACCTGCCTTACCCTAACTTAATCTGACCTGCCTTACCCTAACTTAATCTAACCTGCCTAAGTACCTAATTTAACCTAACTTAACCAACCCTATTCTATTACCAACTTAACCTAACCATACCTTACCTAATTTAACCTAACCTTACCTAAGTTAACCTAACCTAATCTTAATCACCGAGACTGTACCTTAACTATATACTTTCACTTATGACCAGTTAGGAGACATAAAACATCTGGTAATAACCTGAACATTATTCTTGTCTGGTGTTAAGTGACCGTATAGAGTTAAGGTAGAGTCACACTGTTAATTTTCAGACATTTTTGTGTTTTATATTAAGTTAACTTTTGTGAATTTTGACCAGGGAGGATACTGTGTGTGTGTGTGTGTGTGTGTGTGTGTGTGTGTGTGTGAACCTCCGGAAATCAGGTTATGGCAGGTTTTTGTTGACATTGGGTACCTATGGGGTGATTACCTGTCCTACCTGTCTTAGTTAACGTGTATCTGCCCCCCAACCCACTTATGACCATTGAGAACTACTTCCCTACATCTCACTTAACCTTACCTACATGACCCTGACGTAGATCAACCCAGATATTAACCTAAGCGCCCAAGAGAACTTTGTCCACAACTCTACTTTTTATACAGTGTAGAGGTGAGACACAGTGTAGAGGTGAGACACAGGTAGAGATGAGACACAGTGTAGAGGTGAGACACAGTGTAGAGATGAGAGACAGTGTAGAGGTGAGAGACAGTGTAGAGATGAGAGACAGTGTAGAGATGGGACACAGTGAGATGAGAGACAGTGTAGAGATGAGACACAGTGTAGAGATGAGACACAGTGTAGAGATGAGACACAGTGTAGAGATGAGACACAGTGTAGAGATGAGAGAGAGTGTAGAGATGAGAGACAGTGTAGAGATGAGACACAGTGTAGAGATGAGACACAGTGTGAGAGATGAGAGACAGTGTAGAGGTAAGACACAGTGTAGAGATGAGACACAGTGTAGAGATGAGAGACAGTGTAGAGATGAGAGACAGTGTGGAGATGAGACACAGTGTAGAGATGAGAGACAGTGTAGAGATGAGACACAGTGTGAGAGGTGAGAGACAGTGTAGAGGTGAGACACAGTGTAGAGGTGAGACACAGTGTAGAGGTGAGAGACAGTGTAGAGGTGAGAGACACAGTGTAGAGATGGGACACAGTGTAGAGATGAGACACAGTGTAGAGGTGAGACACAGTGTAGAGGTGAGACACAGTGTAGAGGTGAGACACAGTGTAGAGGTGAGACACAGGTAGAGGTGGAGACACAGTGTAGAGATGGGACACAGTGTAGAGATGAGACACAGTAGAGACACAGTGTAGAGATGAGAGACAGTGTAGAGGAGACACAGTGTAGAGATGAGAGACAGTGTAGAGATGGGACACAGTGTAGAGATGAGAGACAGTGTAGAGATGAGACACAGTGTAGAGATGAGACACAGTGTAGAGATGAGACACAGTGTAGAGATGAGACACAGTGTAGAGATGAGAGAGAGTGTAGAGATGAGAGACAGTGTAGAGATGAGACACAGTGTAGAGATGAGACACAGTGTAGAGATGAGAGACAGTGTAGAGGTAAGACACAGTGTAGATGAGACACAGTGTAGAGAGATGAGAGACAGTGTAGAGATGAGAGACAGTGTGGAGATGAGACACAGTGTAGAGATGAGAGACAGTGTAGAGATGAGACACAGTGTAGAGGAGAGACAGTGTAGAGGTGAGAGACAGTGTGAGAGGTGAGACACAGTGAGGTGAGACACAGTGTAGAGGGGTGAGACACAGTGTAGAGGTGAGACACAGTGTAGAGGTGAGAGACAGTGTAGAGGTGAGACACGTGTAGAGGTGAGAGACAGTGTAGAGGTGAGAGACAGTGTAGAGGTGAGAGACAGTGTAGAGGTGAGACACAGTGTAGAGGTGAGAGACAGTGAAGGTGAGACACAGTGTAGAGGTGAGACACAGTGTAGAGGTGAGACAGTGTAGAGGTGAGACACAGTGTAGAGGTGAGAGACAGTGTAAAGGTGAGACACAGTGTAGAGGTGAGACACAGTGTAGAGGTGAGAGACAGTGGAGGGTGAGACACAGTGTAGAGGTGAGACAGTGAGTGAGAGACAGTGTAGAGAGGGAGACACAGGAGGTGGAGAGACAGTGTAGAGGTGAGAGACAGTGTAGAGGTGAGACACAGTGTAGAGGTGAGACACAGTGTAGAGGGAGAGAAGTGTAGAGGTGAGACACAGTGTAGAGGTGAGACACAGGTAGAGATGAGACACAGTGTAGAGGTGAGACACAGTGTAGAGGTGAGACACAGTGTAGAGGTGAGACACAGTGTAGAGGTGAGACACAGTGTAGAGGTGAGACACAGTGTAGAGATGAGAGACAGTGTAGAGGTGAGAGACAGTGTAGAGGTGAAATTCCAGTGACCGGAAAACAATTAACAAGAAAAAAACCCCTCATAACTTTGGTCAGTCTATGTAATTTTTGTAACCTTCCTTCCCGTAAAACCTGAGACGTTGAACACGATGCCCACGGTCATAAGGAGGTATTTCCTGTAGCTGGGTGACCTTGTGACCTTGTCTGGGTATTTTTGGGCATTTCCTTGTTAGGGAGGAGACCTGACTCGTTTTGTAGGCGAGTCAGATTCCCTAGACCTGACTCGTTCTGTAGGTTTACTAGGTGAGTCAGGTACTAGGTGAGTCAGGTACTAGGTGAGTCAGGCACTAGGTGAGTCAGGTTCTTGTGGTCTATAGTCGCCTCAGTAAGACCAGCCATCCCTCAGGGCGAGTGGGTGAGTGAGTGGGTGAGTGAACGAGTGAGCGAGTGGGTGGGTGAGTGAGTGGGTGGGTGAGTGAACGAGTGAGCGAGTGGGTGGGTGAGTGAGTGGGTGGGTGAGTGAGTGAGTGGGTGAGTGAACGAGTGAGCGAGTGGGTGGGTGAGTGACTTTCTCCCCTCGGCTGTCTGGTCTTCCCCAGCTATGGGCTCACTCACACACACCATTCATTAACCATTACTGGCATCTACTGTCACTTTCACTCATTCGCTGTCACTTTCACTCTCATTCACTGTTACTTTCTGTCATTCACTGTCACTTTCACTCTCATTCACTGTTACTTTCTGTCACTTTCACTCATTCAGTATCGCTGTTTCTTAAGGTATATGAATTAGAAAGGTAAACACAATAATAATAATAATAATAATAATAATAATAATAATAATAATAAGTGAAAGACAATTTTTTATAAATATAATTACTTGAACTGGCCTGACAAGGTACACACAACCACTCAGTGGGCATAATACCCTATAGACCTGCGGCCCCTGAATGTGCATATTGCCCTGTGGTGCTGCGGCTCTGAATACACTTAATATCCCCTGGTACTGTGGCCCCTGAATGAGCATAATATCCCCCATAAGTACTGTGGCCCATGAATGAGCATAATATCTCCCTGGGACTGTGACCCCTGAATGAGCATAATATCCCCCTGGTACTGTGGCCCACGAATGAGCATAATATCCCCCTGGTACTGTGGCCCATGAATGAGCATAATATCTCCCTGGGACTGTGACCCCTGAATGAGCATAATATCCCCCTGGCACTGTGGCCCACGAATGAGCATAATATCCCCTGGTACTGTGGCCCACGAATGAGCATATATCTCCTGGTACTGTGGCCCAATGAATGAGCATAATATCCCTGGGACTGTGACCCTGAATGAGCATAATATCCCCTGGCACTGTGGCCCACGAATGAGCATACATCCCCATAGGTACTGTGGCCCCTGAATGAGCATAATATCTCCCTCAGTACTGTGGTACAATGAGCATAATATCCCCATAAGTACTGTGCCCTGAATGAGCATATATCACACCCCTGGTACTGTGGCCCCTGAATGAGCATAATATCCGATGGTTTTGGTAAACATTGGGTGACGTCACTTTGTTCCCGCCGCCATTATTGTTTACCAACACCGTCTCTCCACCACTCAAGGGATCATTGTTTAGTCTACACCCATGACCAGTGCAGCATCACCTGTATCTCTACCACCATCACCTACCACCATCACCTACCACCATCACCTACCACCATCACCTGTATCTCTACCACCATCACCTACCACCATCACCTACCACCATCACCCTACCACCTACCACATCACCTACCACCATCACCTGCATGCACCATCACCATCTACCACCTCACCACCATCACCTACCACCATCACCTGTATCTCTACCACCATCACTTGCACCATCACCCACCACATCACCTGTATCTCTACCACCATCACTTGCACCATCACCTACCACCATCTGTATCTCTACCACCATCACTTGCACCATCACCTACCACCATCACCTGTATCTCTACCACCATCACTTGCACCATCACCTACCACCATCACCTGTATCTCTACCACCATCACTTGCACCATCACCTACCACCATCACCTGTATCTCTACCACCATCACTTGCACCTCTACCACCATCACTTGCACCATACCACATCACCTGTATCTCTACCACCATCACTTGCACCATCACCTACCACCATCACCTGTATCTCTACCACCATCACTTGCACCATCACCTACCACTATCACCTGTCCTGCACCATCACCTCACCATCAGTATTCTACCACCATCACTTGCACCATCACCTACCACCACCTGTATCTCTACCACCATCACTCCATCACCTACCACCATCAACTATCTCTACCACCATCACTTGCACCATCACCCACCACCATCACCTGTATCTCTACCACCATCACTGCACCATCACCTACCACCATCACCTGTATCTCTACCACCATCACTTGCACCATCACCTACCACCATCACCTGATCTCTACCACCATCACTGCACCATCACCTACCACTATCACCTGTATCTCTACCACCATCACTTGCACCATCACCTACCACCATCACCTGTATCCCCCACCACCATCACATTACATCCCCTTCTTTCCTCTTTTTCTGTACAAGTTCACTTTCACTTGTAGTAAACTCGAGTCATAACACAGAGGCAGGCAGGTACACCCACGAGGTGCCTCTACAGCCACTCACTTTCTGAACGTGTGTGTGTGTATGTGCGTGTGTGTGTGTGTGTGTGTGTGTGTGTGTGTGTGTAGTGTGTGTGTGTGGCGGCAGGTGATAATAAAAATAAACTAGGGGAGGTGGTTAAGTTAGGTTGGGTTAATAAAGGAATATTGACCATTTCCTCGAGAGAAAACTTGACTCAAAAACATTAAAAAAAATAATAATAAATAAATTAGACACATAAAAAGTTTGGTCTATATTATTTGTTGAACACGAGTAAAGTGTTCAACACCCAGGCGGTACACTGGTTCAACACCCAGGCGGTACACTGGTTCAACACCCAGGCGGTACACTGGTTCAACACCCAGGCGGTACACTGTTCAACACCCAGGCGGTACACTGGTTCAACACCCAGGCGGTACACTGGTTCAACACCCAGGCGGTACACTGGTTCAACACCCAGGCGGTACACTGGTTTGGTTCAACACCCAGGCGGTACACTGGTTCAACACATACACTGGTTCAACACCCAGGCGGTACACTGGTTCAACACCCAGGCGGTACACTGTCTGCACATCAGGGTTTATAATACTGTAAATTTGGACCAACGTTCAGTAGGTGAGAACTGGAATAAATCGACTCAAGGTTAATAGAAAGTAAGTTTTAAGGCACAGGTGAGCTTGTTGGGGTTAGGTTAGGATTTTGTGAGTGTGTCATATTGGATAGTTGGTGGGGTAACTCGGGGTGGTTGGTGGTGGGTGGTGGTGAGGGGTGGTGAGGGGTGGTGGTGAGGGGTGGGGTGGTGAAGGGGTGGTGGTGGTGAGGGGTGGTGGTGGTGAGGGGGGGTGGGTGGGGTGGTGGGAGGGGTGGTGGTGGTGGTGAGGTGGTGGGTGGTGGTGTGGTGAGGGGTGGTGGTGGTGGTGGGGAGGGGTGGTGGGTGGTGGTGGGTGAGGTGGTGGGTGGTGGTGGTGAGGGGTGGTGGTGGTGGGAGGGGTGGTGGTGGTGGGTGAGGGGTGGTGGTGG